TGTAGCCTATATCATTTTATTTTTAAGATTTATTTTTAATGCTTCTGTAAAAGACTAACGGCCGCATAGCCCATACACTGCAGAGTTTAAGGGAGACAATGGCACTTAACAGTAAAGTCATATCTAAATATGTTCTTTTCATTTATGAAGATTTAAGTATGTAGTTTATGCACATTTGTTCAAAACAGCCTGGCAGATTGTTCACAAGATGTAGGCAAAAGTTTGTATTGTATACAGGAAGAATGCGCGTTCTTATCATTCCTCTGTTGCGCTGCTTGTCTATTTCTCTTCAAAGCACCAACTTAAAATGCCTATTTTGGTGTGATTGCTTGTGTTACATGAGGAAATAAATCATTTTGCCTTACTGATGCAGTAGCCTATTTAATGCGGGTGCGGTTCAGGTCGCGGGTCGGGTACAGAATTAAATTGGTGCTGGCTGCTGTCGGATAACGGGTCGTGTGTTCTGTTGTGTAGCTACTGCGGATGCAGGTTTATCTAACAGCACCCGTGCAGGACTCTGCTTTAAACTGCTTTGCGTCTCTCCGTCAGAACCTCACGTGCATGATGCGCCATTTACAGGGGCTTATTTAAAATGAAAATTCATTCTCTGCCAGCAGGAGGCGCTTTTAGAGTGTTAAAACTGGTAATGTATATCGAAATGTTTAAAAATCATATCACCGTTATTGAAAAAAATTATATCGCGATACATATTGATATCGAATTATTGTCCAGCCCTATGCTTCATACGTTTGTTATATTTGACTGTAAGTGCCCTGCGAAGTGGACATTACCGGATATTCCTCCATGATTCCAGTTTGAAGGGAGCATATATGACCAACGCCCCCTGAGTTCTATATTCCAGCAGATCCGATAACTGGGCTTTATTTTTTTTTTTTAAAAAAAAAAAAAAAAAAAAAAAAAGTGAAAAAAAAAAAAAAAAAAAAAAAAAAAAAAAAACCCCCCCCCCCCCCCCCCCACAAAAACAAATACAATTACAAAACTGATTCATCTTGAGATACAGATTTTTTTTTACTGTCACAAATCATCCTGAAAGGCCCCTTTTGAGTGAAGTATTGATCTGTTATATAAAAGTTCAATGCCACTTCCTGCCATGAGGATGAAGTGTAGATATTGCTCCATCACTTGTAGTTATGAAATTGCTTTGTCTCAAAACAGAGTTCCTAAAAACATTGATACTGTCAGTTTACAAGTTTACCCATTTCTCGTTCTTTTCACAAATTCAACATTCACACCAGAGTAGCGATGTGACAGCTATTTTAGAGAACAGCAAAAATACAAATTTCTGCTAATTAAGCAACTGTTTGGGACTTTGCATGAATGGTACATGAAATATGCATGGAAATGGGTACATATTTTGCAGTTATTCAGGCCTAACTAAACAAATTCCTATAAGTATGTCCTGCAAGGATATTGTAAGTAGGCCTTCTATAACAACTCTAAACAACAGATTCATTTAAAGATGCTGCTATTCTGACTGATAAAAAAAAGCAAGCTGATCAAAGGCCATTCTTATATGTTTTATAAATTAAAAAAAGTACAAAACTAAATCAAAAGTCTCATGGTTACGTCGGTTTGCTTATAGTTTATAAAATATGGCTACATTCACACAGTTTTTGGGGACTGACAACTGTATGACTAACAAGTAGATATTGTGTTGTATATCTAATTGCAGACAAAAGCTGTCTTCATGGACAGGTAGCTAAGGTCAATTCCCACATGTATTCTCAGAACAGTCTTGAATAACACAGTAACCATAGTGACAGATAATGTCTGCATATGAGATTAATTCTTTAATTGCTTCCCTTACAAAAATGTACAAATGGAAACATTCCATCCTCATTCATAAGGATTGATTCAATTAAAGTTTGATCCTGATGTTTAAAGGGGTCATATGATGCGATTAAAATTTTTCCTTTCTCTTTGGAGTGTTACAAGCTCTTGGTGCATAAAGAAGATCTGTAAAGTTACAAAGACTAAAGTCTCAAATCCAAAGAGATATTCTTTATAAAAGTTAAGAGTCAACCACGCCTACCTAAAACGGCTCGTTCTAACACGCCCCCACACGTCTACGTCACGATGTGGGAAGATTTGCATAACGCCGCCTAAATGTTCACGCAAAGAAAGAAGGCGTAACTTTTATTCTCGCTGTAGTATTGTTGCTGCCGCCATGTCGTGAAGGTACTGTGTGCTTCGTTGTGAAAGCCAAACTACTTTGTTTGGCCTTCTAAAAGAGGACGATATCCGCTTTGTCATGCCTGGAGATGATCTGTGCTGGTCGCTGAGGGAACACATCAACTTCGCACTGTGGATCGCCGGATCGGCTTTCACCGTGGACGAAGCGGAGTCCAGCCCGGAGTCGTCACAAGGGGTTGCCGCAAGCCCGCCGGATGCTCCTTCGTCGAATCTGCCGGCCGCGCCGCTCACTATAGCCGCTGGCCTCCGCTCACTCTAGCCCGCCGTGTGTTTCGTTGCGAAAGCGAAACTACTTTGTTTGGTCTTCCAAAAGAGGACACGACTAGAAATCAGTGGTTAAGTTGTATTTACAACACTGTTCCAGAACACTTCAACCCAAATATTCAGATGTGTGCAGCACATTTTATGGAGGATTGTTTCCTGATCCTAGAAGAGTAGACTACAATGTCGGCTGTTCTGGCTCACAGACTATAAGTACGTTTTCATTTAAAGGATTTGCCACTGATGATTCAAATGTGAGTTTTGAGCAGTGTAGAGTAGCGCTTGTTTGTCATTTCTCCGATCACAAATACAGACATGGTTTTATGTTTATGCGGCGCGATGCAACGCAACGCGTAAAAAGACAGTATAAGTCATCATAATCCGTAATTATGTCCCCACTGGATGCAACAAATGCCTTGTTTGTAATGTCTCGTCGCTCCGGGACACGGCATCACAGTATGGTAAGGGTCGTAACATTTCCGTCACACGCTTAAGGTATTCGGCCAATCACAACGCACTGGATAGCTGGCCAATCACAGCACACCTCGCAAAGGCGGAGCATGGAGGAGAAACAATAATGTACAGTATGTGGGAAATAATGTGTTTTTTAACCTTAAACCGCATAAACACATTTCATTACACCAAATACACAAAATAATGTTCTTTTTAGCAACATCATATGACCCCTTTAACATGTTTGAGGTTACAAACAACATCATGCAACTAGGCCTACACTTTAAAAAAAGGATCGATAGGAAAAAGGTAAATATTCTGCAGCTAAACCTGTCAATTAGTTAACTGTAAGTTACCATAGCAGATAGGCTACAGTGAAAATTTGTTTTACATTTAACTGAAAAATTATGTTTAATGGAACTAAAAAGTATGAATTATAATTTACCAGAAAACAAGTTAAAATGCCTCTTAAAATACTGTAAAAACCAGTAAGAAATACCCGGGGCACGTGATTTTATTATATTTACTCATGTTGGTTCTTATTTTTAAAGCCATGTACATGTTTGATGTTAAATGTTATGTTTATTGCATTATATTTTGTCTGCACATTTATTCATTTATTAGTCATGGTTTATTACTTTAACGGTCTTGCACATTTAGATGCCATTGGTGATAAAAATGAAATAATATCTGCCCTCACTTTACTAACAGATTGTCAATCCACTTGATGTCCGCAAAAACAGCTAGTGCTGTTATTATAGTAAATCCCTAATACATTTTCGTTAGTTGCGGGTGTGTTTCAAAACCTAATTGTTATATTAATTGACCCGGATGTAGCGTTCCAAACAGAACTTAGCGTTGTATCGCGCAGCTGTGTGAACTTGAACGTCCGAGTTCAGAAACTTAAACGGACCATAAACGTCTAATCCTTTTGTTGTCCTGTTTTTGTTCAGAACTAAAGTACTCTGAGGAAAACTGAAGTGTTTTCGGCAATACGCCGACGGTCGGTAGGCCTGATAGCCCGCGTTGGCCACTAGGTGTCGCTCTGGAGCAAGAAATGCCGCGGCGTCTCCCCCACCCCTAAACATCTCCTCCGAATGTGTGTATGTGTGCGTATGTGTAGCGCCGAGAAAGTAAGTCTGTGTTTCCAGCTGACTGCTCGCTCTCTCTCTCAGTGTGTGTGTATGTGTGTGTGTGTGTTGTCATTATTATTATCCAGTCTGCTCCCAGCTCAGAATGGCCAGATTCACTCAGACTGAGACAAGAAGGGAGCAGCACCCACAGCCGCCCCATCCCGCTTACTCCAGCCTGCTTTTCACTGGACCCGGGGCAGCACCGACCCAACATCCACTCCTCCTAATCCCGCACCAGCACCAGTACGCTCAGATCACATTTCCTAAACCCATGAACGGGTCAGAATCCATCTCCATTCATCCGGAGAACGGCACCATGAAAGACCAAGATGCCATAAAACTCTTTATCGGGCAAATACCGCGGAACCTTGAGGAAAAAGACCTGAAACCATTGTTCGAACAGTTTGGGAAAATCCACGAATTGACAGTATTAAAGGACCGATACACCGGCATGCACAAAGGTAAACGCGTGATTCCCTTAATAAGAGTCTGTGATTTTGCAACGGTAAACACTAGGCTACAATAAAAATACAAATAAATGTCTCGTGCACATTATCCGTTGGTGACGCACGAGTTATTGTAATATTTATTATAAATCATACTTGTCATTTTTGTCATGTCAACATTAAATACATATAGGCTACATACAGTCTGATGAAACTGTAATATCAGGCCCCTTTCGCCACTATTTTGCACTTGCATCGTTTAGAGAGAACTTATCTTCTCTGTTTGAACCTTTGCATTGTTGCTTGTATGAATATTATGTATTTCCATCATATAATATGGCTGGGAATCTTACCTTTCTATATGGCAGTTTAATTTTTGAACTGGGGCAAAGAGGCTTTGAAGAAAATTCATATTTAAAGAGACTTTCTTTTGCCTCGTCCATCTTTTACAATGGGGATTAAATACTCCCACCACCCCAGAGCATCCTAGCTTGTTCAATCTGGCATATGCAGTTCTCGCAAATGAACAGGCGTTTTGAATATGATTAAATGTATATACCAAGAGAAATGGTCGATGTTGTTCAACGGCTTACAAAAACAGAGCTGTTATATGCTCCAATCAGGTGCGCCAGGGTAACGAAACACGCACAAATAATAACAGAATAGAAAAACGCGCAGCTTTACTTATCTGATCATATTTGCGCTGAGACACGTTCGGTTTGTGCGTCATAACGAACTACGGCGCGTTCTATATTGTGGCGTGACGTTCTACTTGACACTCAAACAAGAAGACAATACTAAAATTAAACCTCTATTTTGGTATAATCTCGTTCTTGTCATTTATTCCCCTCAAGTGATATGTGTCAGAAACAGAATATTCACATTTGTCTTCGTTAGTGTCAGTTACTATTAGGCTTCATATCAGTGGTGTGTTTATAATTATGCTAATAAGGCTCTATTTGCTCAAGCATTCATCCACGATAGAGAAGCCTTGCTTCATATGGGGGTTAACTGTGTTGAACATATCAGAATAGCTATATACAGGGATTTCGTGGGCGGGAGTTGTGCGTTTTCATTTGGCTAAAAACGTCGTTGGAGAAAACGACGTGAAATGTAAATTTTGTTCTTAATTTTAGGATTCTATGACAAATGGTTAAGCTCTAGAGAGGATAGTGTCTTCAGAGGAAACTTAAGAAAGTTAGCCTACTTGCCACAAGTCGACCGTTATGAAAGCGCGCCAATTCTGACAAGAAATGGCACTAACTCTATCACTCTTTGATCAAATGGCATCAATGGTGACATGTAAGTTGTTATATTATTTGATGTATTAACTTGTGCAGCAAATAATACAAGATAGAAACACCAGGGAGGATCCAATCTGAGTTGACTGTTCCTCAATAATGATGGTCCTCTTGGACATTGATGGATGTCAAGCCTATGTGGATACACCTTATCTAGTGCATTACTGTGAGCTGAATAGTCCCATCAATTAGACGTCTAAAATATAGAGCTTTTCAGTTTGTAGTGCTAAACCCCGAAGAGAATTAGCGTTTTCAAGCCATTGGGTTCTCTTAGGAATTTCCAATGGGGTTTTAAAATCGGGATTTTCCATTTATAAGTAAAATAAGGTCTTGTGGTTAATAATACTTCAGACATTTTGTTATGCATAAATTTATGCACAATTGTAACTCAGATGCGGATTTTCCCAACATGTAATTTGGTAATAAACAAGGATGTGAGTTTTTTTCTAAATAATAAAAAAGCACTATTTTTTTTTAAAAACCCATAGGTTATTCCTGAAGACCTACAAATTGACATCATTACCGAAATAATTGATTTGTGTGAGTTTTTTGTGTTTATTATGGCTGGTTCCGTACATATTAGTTGGACGTCCTGTCAATGCCAGATTATAACATCATAGGTCCAATTTTTTTCATCCTAAACTACCTGATGATATTTGTGATGCAGCTGCCTCTAGGACAGGAACTGAATATGAGTTCTAAAGGATTGCACAGAGAATTGGTTCTTCAGGATGGAATTTCTTTTCAATTTATGTATTATTCTATGAGGGGATGTGAAGATAAGAACAAGTCAGCAAATATTTACATAAACTTTTTGTCAGCTTATTGTGCAGTCTTGCGAGTAGTCTCAATATGGACTGCATTGGTGATGTAGACCCCAAGGTTGTTTAAATGTTTGGCTAAAATGTCGGTGAGGATGCTAATGTAATTTGTTTTTTATCCGAAACGTGACAAAGGAGCACAACAGATGAATGGTTTGTGTTAATGCCAGTACTCATTAGGAAAAACCTACTGTTTGTACATACGCAATACACAAAATGTCACTGAAGATAAGTGCAAAACAAGATATTTGTGCATCTGTTTCTTCATTAAGTTCTGTTTTAAAGGGTTCACCGGACTAAAGGGATCATATGTAGGTTTCAGAGTGGGGAACATGTTTCAGCGCTAAGTCAGCTTGCTAATCCACACAGGAAAACACAGCATTAGTTTGCTAAGCGCGGTAATAAACCATGACCATAATGACGGAGGAGGATTAGCAACTGTAGTTATTGTCTGAGGTTGCGGTCGTTCGGATCACTTGGTTTGTCCCTCTGAAGTGGCTGCTTCTTTGCAATTAAAGCATGCTGTAGTCATCTTAGCCTGCAGTGTTGTTCAGTATGAACAGCTATTATGAGGTCTGCTCAACGGGCCTAACAAATGCTGTCTCTTGATTTGTATTAACAGGTGAGCTTTTCCCCTTCAGGCTTTTCACCTGTGATCCGTTGAGCTCAGCATTTTATTAAAGTTTTTTTTATTTAGTATGGAGTTGGAAATGGGGGTTTAACTCACAGATTTGCCTGGAAAGCTTGAGACACTTGCTGTGCTGTATTTGTAATCGTACGTGAGCATGGTATATAGATCTCTTGCTGCGTTTAGCATAAAAACACTATTGTTGCTTTGCTTTGAAAGCCTCTTACGCACATTTTGCACTCTGCAGGTGAAGATGTCCAAGGATAAGCTTGCACAAGCTTACAATACAAAAGGCATGGAGAATATTTGAACACTATACACAAACATACACAAGGCTCTTTAGACCTAAACCCGATGCTGTCTGATTGTCTGTGCTTAATGATGCTCCATTCACATCTGCCACTATAGAGTGTCAATCCTTAACTGCTTTCAAGGGACCTATTATGCTAATGCATTTATGAGGGATTGACAGATAAGATAGACATTTTAGAAATAATCTTATGAAGCATTAAACAATTTTAATTTATGTATTTTCCCATGCGAATGGATTTAACAGCAGGGGTCCTTGCAAAAGCTGAAAGCCAAGCTGTAGAAAGGTTCAGTGCTTATAAATCTAAGGCTAACTTTGTTGGACAGTGATTTGAAAGGAGTTTTATGCTGTTTCCACTTTCCAGTATTAAAAAGAGTTAAGCTAGGAGTGAGGTTTCAAGGCCTTGCAGAAAAATTACATCGCAAATCCCTTATTAATAGAAAGATGAAACATATTTTGTATGGTTTACCAGGAACCAATGTTGGGTTCATAGTAGCATTTTCATATCTGAAAATTCATTTGGATACGTACACTTCCTAACAGAGATTTTTTTGTATATTTTATTTTCTTGTTTTCTAGTAAAACCCCATTTAATCGCAATTGGAGTGTTGTTTTTTAGTAGCGTAAATGTCTATTAGTTTTGAGACTTTGCAAAAGTTTAAATGATATGAACACATTTACAATTCACAGTTTTTTGAACAAAAATATTGTCCACGTTTACAATTTGTTTTTGTCCAAAATGGCCCAAAGTAGTAAATTGTAGTTTCTAGCTAAAAGCTACGAGTCTTTTGATGATAATGTTTCGTCCCAACTTCCCAAGTTTAAATAGGAAACATGTCAACCAATGAATAAAAACTACAAGTTAGTGATTTTCATTAGGTTTTAAATTAGAGGAGGCCATTGGCTGAAATGTCAAACGGCTTCTTTAAAAGTCTGACAGTCCAAAGACGCAAACATCTGTAAATACTATAATACGCAACAAGGCCGATTCATAAAAAATGCAGTGCTTCAGCAGCTCTCCTGGCAGGAACTGTAGCTCTGAATGTCAGGATGAGATGTTCCCTCCTCTATCAGCAAGCTTTGCTTTGAGCTACTTGTCTTTTCATGTGAACTGGCCACTTATCTCCCCTTTACCTGCTTTTAGATGGACTTTTCCTCCATGTGGAGAAGGTTATTTTTCTTTTTAGGTGGTAAATGTTTTTTTTTAAAAGGCCATTACCATTCATCAGATGGCGGCATTTACAGTAGAGTATTCTAGACAACCCTCTGTGGAAAGAGGTTCAGTGACCTTCCGTAACATGTCCGTTTTGTGGACCGAGCATAGAACACAAAGCAAAATGATTGATGCGCTATTCTAAGATGTTGTGAATCTCTCCCTTATGACCATTTTTATGGCGGATAATAAGCTGGTCTTCAAATGTGTCATAATGTCTGTCGTGTTTGCTAATAGAAAAGTCCACCTGATTCCCTCTGTTTTGTGCTGCTTAACAAGATTGCTCTGTAATTCAAAAACATTACTCACTGCTGTAGGATTCGATGAAATTAATTTATTAAACATAGTATTTTTTAATTAAACTTAATTGATCAACATAATATAATTAATTTTACTGTTAAGTTAAAACTTTTTTTTGGTTGTGAAAATATAAATGTAATATTATCATTATGTAAATTTCATTTACATGATTTTCAAGTTTCATCATCAAATATAGCTTAATATGCAGAGTAAACCAAGTAATCCAAGTAAACCATTTGTTGCCTAATTTTTCCAAAAAATAAATCAATTTTGTGACACTCGCACAGGGGTGTGTTTTCCATACAATAATGCAATTTGTTGCTTAACTAACATATGTAACATGATGCATCGATTAACTAGAAATTAACTATCTAGTTTCCCAAAACCATAGTAACTTTGTCACATATGCGTCATTTGAACCACATTGTTTTCAACAATATGG